AACACGGTCTCTCCCACTAGCCACTTTGGCGGGTTGAATTTTACAGTAACAGAGCTCAACATTAATGCTTGTTTGGGACAAGTGGATTTTTTGTAGGGGCAAGCGAAAGAAGAGAATTTTACTTGGCCGACCGGACAAGTAATCTGATTAAAACATCTAACTAGGGAAGCACTGAAATTTTGATTCTGATTTTATTACATTCGGTGTCAACGGTAATTGATAATGGATAATAAACAGTAACAACAAGGTTGCACCAGTTGAAGCTCACACAGTTTGTCTGTGAGAGAATCTCGTGGAGAAATTAAAACAAATGAACACAACTGCACACAGAAGAAACATACAAACAAACAAAAAGTAACTTAGTTTTTATATTTATAACATACAGCCTAGTTAAGCAACACGACCAAGAGAGTGAAGTTTTCCCTGAAAACCACGATTGCAAAATTGACATTTTATACAAGAGTTAAAACGAGTAGTTAATATACATTTTAGTTCAATATTTGAATTAGATTTTATTGAAAGGATATATATTGTCAGCGCTGACTGTTTTTGCTCAATTTGGTTAATGAAAATAGTTCCAAACAAAGATCACAGCAGAACAGTTGCGCATCTCTGAGCAACACACAGTGGTGTTCCGTTATTGAATGATTCGTGTTTTTGAATTTGGAATAATTTGAGTCAGTGATTCAGTGATCCATTCATAAAGACAGGCACTTGCTTCATTCTTGAATGAACCATGAATTCAGCTACATTGAACTGTCTGTGTAAATGCATCTGAATGCCACTCCAGTCACTTCTGTTTCTTCTGCAGTGGAAAGATTAGTTTGTTGATACTGATTTAATTTGATTGGTAACAGCCCTATATTGTCTTATTATATTAAGTGAAATTATTAATAAAATGTAAGAATTTGATATTAAAGATGATGCATGCATTTAGGGAAAATTGCCCTTTAAATAGGCCAAAAAATGACCTGGAAATCAATGTAAATAAATTTTTGCATGCAGTATTAAGTCATATAAAACGTAATTTCCCAACAACAAAATTGTGGCCAGTGAAAATGCTGAGTGGCTTGTAAATTTGGAAAACCACTAGCCGCAGTGGCCGGTGAGCAAAAAAGTTATATATATATATAGCCAATATGTTAATAATATGCATGCTAATAAGCAACTAGTTCATAGTAAGAAGTGGTCCCTATACTAAACTGTTACCATATTTTTTTTTCTATTTCTCAAAGAAAACATGAATAAATTAATGATTACATTTCTTTTTTCTATCTTTTGATTTTGTATGATAAAACAGGCCAAGAGATCATCAGTAATATACTTATACATATATATACACATACACTTTTGTGCCCAAGTGGTACACAACAGCATATAACAGAAGCATAACTATAAATAAACAAACAAAATAAATAAATAACTATACATTCAATATTTTATTTAGATATTTTTTCTTTTTTTATTATCTAAAAAAAGCCCACAAATAAATAATCTCATATTATGTATTTTTCTATCTTTTTATTTTATACTGCATAATAAAACGGTCCAAATACATATACATAAATATTTTTTCCTCTTTTTACTGCAGATAACAAAACAAGCCAAGGGAAAAAAAAAAGTATGTGTGTTTAATGACAAAGTGTGTCTTTTATCAGACAGAGACTATGAGTAAGCACACAGATATGAAACACATTAAGTTTCATTCACCAATAATTGCACAAGAGACCCACAGGAATGCAATAACGAAGCTCAACCCACCTGAATATGAAGATAAAGAGCATTAGTAACATGCAGAAGGTGGCCACGTTGTCCATGGTCTTCATCAGGACCACCAGCTGTCTGCGCAGAGCTGGCATGAACCGCACCAGCTTTATGACCCTCAACAGTCTGAACGTCCTCAGGACGGACAGACCCCCGTCAGACTGCCCAATGATCTCACATACACTATACACAAACACAAAAAAGTGTTGATTATTAAAAAAACAGGAAGGGGGCAAAAACTTTTTCACACCACTGTATATATATATATATATATATACATATATATATATAAATCGTGGTCCAAGGGTACACAATAGCCTACAACCTACTAGCCTACTGATATTTGATCTTGCCTTCATCATTAATTTTTGCTACTCAAATGCCTTTTACATATATTTTTTAATGGCTTTAAGGTGTGGTCACATTAGTGACATTTCATCAAATTTTCACAGGCGCACAGTTTAAAGGTCACATGTACTCTTGACTTGTCTTAAATCTTAAACCTTAAATCTTAAGCTATTTTTATTACAATTATTATGCTTCAAAACTTTTTTTTTTTCATAAATTGACTGTCTGTTGTGGTGTCACTCTTTGTAGTTTCTCTATAAAGTGTACTTGGTTACCAATGAGACAACGAGTAAAACGCATGCTTGAGATGAGATGTGGGGGGAAAAAATCCATTCTACAAACTATAAAAGTGAATGCACTTGCCTGATGATCACAATAATTCCATCAAAGATGTTGTAGGGGTTTCTCAGATATTGAAAGAAGCCAAAGGCAGTCAGCTTGAGGATCATCTCCAGGGTGAACATACTGGTGAACACTATGTTACAAATCTCCAGGACATTAGTCAGTTCATCAGGCTGTAGACAGAGAGAGAGAGAGACATTGAGGACAAGCGAGAGTATGGGAAGAATAAAAGAAGAGGCAAATGTGGAGAGGTCATTTCAGATCACTGCATTGCTGTTCAAGAGAGTGTGTGCATTGTTGCATGGACAAGATCAGCTTTTGACAGCAGGCATGAGTTCCTCAGTGAGGCTGTGACCTCCTCATATGATATAAAGGTCAGAGAAAATGGAGTTTAAACCTGAACAATTCCTTGTGGAACATCAGTTAGAAAAAGATCAGGGGTGATGGGAGTACACTGATACTATATGTGAATTGTAAGCGCTGCATGTCTGCAGCTTATTCTGGCCAAGAACTGCCCACTAGACAGGAAGAAACTGTCTGATTGACATGTAAGGTGACCAATCACAGATGGTTTTGTTTTTATGCATTGTTTAGAGGCAGATTATTTGAAATGGATTACACAACACAGAAAGGTGCAGAAAAACATTAAGTCTCTGTGAACGTTTTGGACCGAAAACACAGTAAAAATGGCTGTCAGTCCAAAAATAAGTACTGATAATAGAAAACAAACAAATGCAAAAAACAAAGTTGATTCTGCTTGTGAATATCTTTAGTTATCTACAATAGTTAACTGTAAATGTAGTTATTTTACCTGAATCAAAATGCTGATGCCCAACTGCACGTTTACGTAATATGCAAATATGATATATAAAATAACTATATATCCACACTACTGTTTAAAATGCTGGGGTCGGTTTGATTTTTTTATGTTTTTGAAATAAGTCTCTTTTGCTCACCAAGGTTGCTTTTATTTGATCAAAAATACAGTAATAAACAGTAATATTGTGAACTATTATAACTATTGAAGAAAATTGTTTTCTATTTTAATATACTGTATATTAAAATGTAATTATGTGATGGCAAAGCTGAAATTTCTGCAGCTTTTCTCCAAGATCCAATCATTCTAATATGCTGATTTTATGCTCAAGAAACATTTCTTATTATTATCTATGTTGAAAACTGTGCTGCTTAACATTTTTGTGCAAACCGAGATACATTTTTTTTCTGGATTCTTAATTTAAAGATCAAAATGACAGCATTTATTTGAAATATTTCACAACATTATTAAAGATAAAAAGAGAAAATTCTAACTGACTGAATGGTAGTGTAGTATTACTACTACAGTAAAAATACAGTAGGCTCTCTTAACCCAACCAGGTACCACAACTTTGTTTCCAGGCAGACTAATAACAACCTATGTGGTCATGTGTATTGTAGAAATCCAGCTATTCAGATTGTACCTGGTGATTTAAGCAATTGTGTGCACTAAGCATCAGACAGTCGGTGAACAGACTGTGGGGGGTCTATCGAAGGCTGAGACTAGTGTAAGATCTACTGTGCTTAGAAAGGGATCAACAGGCCAGCCTGATCTGCGTCAGTCCACGCTGTGTAATCTAACATCACATAAATCCTTATCTCAACCAATAACACTATGTATGTTCATGTGCACAAGTGAGAGGGTGGCCGAATTCCAGGGGAGCAAAAGCGAAATCTGATTTAAGAACACTTCCTTCGTTGTCCCTTTTGTTCCTTCTCTCTCCATCCCTTTATCGATCGATATCTCTCCATTGACAAGTTAAAGCCAAGAAAACACAACTGAAGGACGAATAAAAACCAAACCACAGGCAGCTCCTGGGAGATGCCATTTAGAGAAATTGAATATTGACACAGCAATCATGAGTAATAATGGCAAAACAACACGGTAAGAAAACACCAGTAGCTTCTCCTCCCTCTTTCCATTTTTATCACTACTTCTTTCTTTCTTTGTCCTCCCACAGGCTGTACTGTAAACTGCTCTTAAATCAATCCATCAGCAGATCATCTCATTATCAAACCTATTTGTACAATACTTCAACAATGCTGTAAGTGATTTTTGGTAAACCATGAATAAATTGTCACTAAATCCCGACAGATCACTGAAATATGACTTGAAAAATCTCACCTAGACTCCCTTTTTCAGCCAATCTCATGACTTTTAGGCATTTGCTGCCTGTCAGTCATTTTGAGTGTTCATCGACATGGAGGGCAGGATTTTGGAGACGGGGGCCAGACTAATGTTTAACGCTATCTCTGCATCCAAATTTGGCAACTTCCCTACTACATAGCGTGCGAAAGTACACCAACTGAGTGTTGAGCATCCAAAAACACAATACTCATCACAGCAAAATCCCCAGAGTTAAATTAACTCTGCTCAGAGTGCATATTGTCCCAATCTACAGAGTGTTAAAGTAACACCGAAGCAGAGTTAGCACTGTTGAGGATTGTTTGATAAGTTTTCATGTCTAAAAGCCTGAGCAGTAGTTGTTCATCTTCAACACTGTTAACAGCAGGTGTTCATCACTAATGCTCAATCATCACTTATTTAATCACTTAATTATCTCATTAACTTCAACTCTGCTTCAGTTACTTTAACACTCTATTGATTGGGACAATATGTACTCTGAGCAGAGTTGATTTAACTCTGGGGATTTTACTGTGGACAAAGTAGATGACAAATCCCCGGATGACCTGCTACTTCCACCAGGATATTACACCTATGCATATTTTATAGAACAGACTTTATCAGCTTTTTTAACAGCTAAGATGTTCAAGATGTTAAATGCAGTACAAATTCTGACAGATTTCAGGAAGAGGCAACAAGTGTCAATTAATTAATTAAAAAAAAAAAATCCCTTCTTCCCTACTTAATTGGTCCAAAATACCAGTCCTTGTAAATGAGTTAAAAATCAAGCATGTTTTAAAGTGATAGTTCACCCAATTTACTCACCCTCATGTTGTTCCAACTTATTTTCTTCTGCAGAAAATAAATCAGATATTTTAAGAAATGTTCCAGTGATTTTTTTTGTCCATACAATGAAGGTCAAAAGTTACCAAAACTTCTTCAAAATATCTTCTTTTGAGTTCCACAGAAGAAAGAAAGTGATACATGCTAACTCCTATTTATTCATATTAATCACACAAAAGTGCATGTCTTTATACTTGTTCAATTATTATTATGTCTTCCTGTATTTATATGTGAGCAATGGAAGTTTCATATAAAAAAAAAAAATCCTTGTATGTGCAAGCACACTTGGCAATAAAGCAATTTCTAATTCTGATTAATCCATTTTTGTTATCCAGTCTATATATTAAATGTGCAAACTCCATTTGAAATGAATTACATACAATAATATGCAACACTTTACAGATTAAGGGCCAGATTTACTAAACAGGGCAAATTAGCGTTGGAGCGCAATTCCATAAAAGCGCCGATGGGAGGGGAAAATTCTGCGGGTTTACTAACAATGCACACATTAATGAACACAGACGCAGCCAGATCATTTCCATAATGACCAACTCAATCTACCAAGAGCAGCGCAAATTAGCGACTGCTTTAACACATGCATTTTTGGGCATTAAATAATGACACAAATACCAGTAATTTGGCAAGCGCAAATCTTAGTAAATCGCATAAATTGCGTGACTCATTTTAATACTCTTCTCCCATAAATTTTGCGCAATTCTTCACTGCGCGTCTTTAGTAAATCCTGAAAGTACTATTTTAATTATATTAAACTATTATACTAGTTTGCACTGGCACACGCTAGTTAGTAAATATTGATCCTAAATCTGCCTTTCATTTAATTTATTTAATGTTTAATTATTTTTAAAATTCCTCTTGCTGCTTCCTCAGACAATCGCACAATGCCTGCATGATCCTGGCACTCACCTCCCATATCGAAAGAATTTCAGTTGATACACTTCCTGGGAATCAAACCCATGACCCTGCCGTTGCTAGCGCCACGCTCTTCTCTTAGAGCAACAGGAACCTTTAAATGCATTTGTGTGTGCAGACCGAGCGCATTGACACTTGTTCGATCGACTGTTGTGTGTGATTACAAACACACACACACTGCCCACACACATGTAAATATTGTGATCTTTACCAGGCTGGTTGAGAGTCAGGTTAAAACATACTGAGTCACAGCAGATGATGTCATCACACATGATCAGTTTAACCATATAAGACCGAGTGGAACACAAACTCTCATGAGGAAAGTTCTGGTTACATGCGAGCACGTACACAGGGGCTCCTCTGTTTGTCTGCGTAGGCTGCATTTACATGATGTCTCACATGTTAAAAATGCTGCGTAATAGAAGCCAGCAGTGACTATATCTTTTTCTCTCTCTCTATATCTGTCTCTCTCTGCTTGTTGATATTTTTAGAGCCCAGAGAGATGAGAAAACAGGCCCCACTGCAGGCGAGGCAGTGAAGACATGAGGGGGCGGAGGGGGAGAGACATACAGAGAGAGCAAGATAGAGAGAGTGTGCATGAGTAGTAGTAGCTTTCTAGATCTTCCAAAGATAATTAACTGCACTCTCAAGGCAAGAAAAAATCCAACAAGACCGTTCCACAGGCTCTCATTACTTTGAATGGCAGGCCCTGTGAAGACTCTATCAGCACTGCAGAAAGAGCCGGCTATTACAGTAATATGTGACATGATGAGGTTGAACACTTCTTCAGAGTGGGTTCATTATGTGAACCGACTGCGCTGCGGGTGAAATTACCTGGTTATGGTGCTCGATGCCCATGCTGATTGTATTGATGAGGATGGCGATCATAATCCCTCTGTTGAAGTACTTGCTTTCAACTATACCCCAAAGCTTCACTCTCATTTCATCCCAAACATCTTTACATTTCCCAAAACAGATGCGTTTCCTCTTTGGCGAGTCCACGGAGTCATCGTCCCCCTTCTCGTCCAAGCGGCTCTCATCCCTGTCGGTCTCCTCCAGCGCACCCTCCTCTTCCTCCCCATTGGCCGAGTGCCCCGTCGATCCCGCCCCCTCCTTGAGTGACAGGGCGGCAGCACACTGTGGACACTCCTCTGGGTTTGGGGTGATGGAGAGGGAGATGGCGTTCTCCAGAGGTTGGGAGCTGTGGTCCAACTTGTTATCGTGAATACAGTGAGGCGCTGCGAGACAGACGAAAAATTCAACATTTCTGTTTGACATTTTCATATAATACAATAACATTTTTGCCAGTCATTTTCTTGGACAACTGCCACGCTGCTGCTTGGGATTGAAATGTCATTGGGCCATAAAAGCAAACACATGGATGGATTTGTTCTTGTTTTTATTGCAACTTGCTCTTTGCTTTTATAACTTGCTATTTGGTTTAGAGTGGCGGGGAAGCTACTTTGAAACTTGGCCAGGCTACAAGCTATTTTTTATGACACAAAAGAAGCTAAAATACACTGAAGCAACTTAAAAGGGCAATACTGTTTAAAATAACTTTCTGATGATATAATTCCTCATTTTACAGCCATATTCTTTTGGGGTTTGAAGGAATGAACAGTGACGACATCAGACTTTTACAAATAAATTGATACTAAATCAAAGGAAAAAAATAGAATAGAATATATGCTGAATAAAACTGAAAGTAGCTGAATATATCCTAATAAAACTAATTAACTGAATAAAAAACACCACAATTAACAATTAATTTTAAATTTAAATTAATTTAGGATTTACTTCAAAACTACTTAAAATGCTGTGCAGTGATTTCTTTTTTATATATTCATTTACATTGTTAAAAAAAACTTAACTTTCACTTTGTTAAAAAACCTTCACTTTCCAATATACATACAGTATAAGCGAGAGAGGGCAGTTTAACATGAATCAATTCACTTGAATAAATCAAAATGTTTGATGCCAAACACAAGTGACAGATAAGAGTTCAGGATGAACTGAATCAATCAGATTTTCCAATGCTACATTTGAGTGAGAGAGGATAGTTTAGGACAAACAAAGGAATCAGATTTTCATACATTCTCTCACTCACATTTTGTGTTGGAAGGTCTGATCCCAGCAAATCAGACTTTCTAGCACAACATATAAGTGAAAAAGAACAGTTTAGAGTGAATTTTGAATTTTCCTACACTATGAGTGAAAAAGGTTCCTTTAGTTTAGGACGACTGATTCGCTAGACTGAATCAAACTTTTCAACACTGTATAAGCAAAAATGGGGAGTTTAGTATGACTGATTTCTCTAGAACTAATCAACCTTTTCAACATTATATACAAGACAAGAAAGTGCAATTTAGTACGACAGCTTGCTACTATTTTGAACACAGCTGAGCTAATGTCAGGCTAAAATAAACTTGTGTTTGGTTAATTTGAGATATTCTCTCCTCAACACTGTTAGACAAAGCTTTTCTATGACCCAATGCCATTCCTCTGTCTCTTACTCTCTCCTTACTCACTCTGAGTAGAATGGCAGTGGTGTCTTTCGCTGCCATTCACATTAGCTCCTCCCCCTGTCGATCCTGCCCCTCCCCTGCCACGCCCCCTCCCTCCTCCAGGGGGAGGGGCTTTGCCACGGAGCATGTAGTAAAGGGCGGCTGAGCGGCGGCGGGCCTTGCGCAGGATGTGGCAGACCAGCTGGAAGAGCTCCTCGTAACAGTCTCCGGGCTCAGCGAGCGAAGCCAGCGTGCTGGAGGACAGGTAGCGAGCGCGTTGCTCTTGCATCAGCTGGTGCTCTCGCTGTTTGGTCTCTGAAAACTGAGTGGCAATGACCACCAGGCACAGATTAATCATGAAGAAAGATCCAATCTGGAACAGGAAGAAGAAGAGAGAGAGAGTTGACTAACTTTCTTCTCTGGATAAAAAAATGCTACAGAAACATTCGAGTGCTTTCTGGTACTGCTTGGTCCTTTCTGAAGCTATTTTCTGGGGAACAATTGTTCATTGACAACCCCCTCTTTAAATCAGATGCATTTGGATCTTCAGTTCGAGTACTGATTGGTCACACTCACCACAGTTATATACATAGTCAATGAGCTGAACTTGTGAACAAATCCTTCAGACTTATTGTGTGAAACGGATCCACCAATTCAACCAATTTGAGTAAAACAATCCCCCAGATTCATTTACAAATCAGATATTAGTGCTTCTTTTATAAATATTCTAAGGACTGATCGCAAATATTTTAAATGAATAGCAACATTTTGGCCTTTTTGTCAGACAAAAGTATTGTTGATATTTTTGGAATATAGTGCACAATAGCTGCATATGGACTGATTTTTATGATATTTTTGCAACTTTTTAAAACTTTAACACTCCAGTTAGCATTCAGTATAAAATCACAGGGTTTGAAATAACACATAAATAATGACTAAATATTCATTTTTGGGTGAACTACACCTTTAAAAACATATTTTAGTTCATTTATTTGAGCATTTTGCTGTCATTGCTTTCTTATACACTAAAGATACATTTTAAGTTTGATTCTGTTACCATAACTCTTGCAATATGTGTGAAGTCTCAGCTGCTTTAAATATCCAGATCTACATGACACCTAAACCCCTCTAAGCTCTCTAACACAGCCTGTGCTGCAGTGTTTGGCATAAGCAGCGGCCATAGCTGTCTAGATGAGCTGCTATAAACGGACCCTATGTTTGAAAAAGTCAGCAGACGCCCAAACAAGAGCCTGTTTTGTTGTGTGTGCTCCTGTATTGCTCTGGCTTTGATATGCTATAATTATCAGGCTCTTTCATAGGAGCAAAACCTCTAAATATCTCCTAGTCCTCGCAGAGAAGGGCTAGATCCCTCTGCCAACGTGAAACGGATTAGAATTGCGAGCAAATCATTTTAAAGACCGAGAGCGAACCAGTTCCAGACTCAACAGAACAGAAAGCCTGCTCTTATATCATTCGCCATTCATATCACTGGCATTTGTCAACACGCGAATGCACACAGAGCTCGCTCTTAGGTCTTAATTAAAGTACAGCCTGGTTCCTGCATATGTGAAGTAGGGATCAGAGAGGATGGATGAATCGTGAGGAGGACAGAGGAGGGGGAGAAACGCACAGAAGATAAAGGTGACTTGACTTGACTTGACTTGACACACACACACACACACACGTCTGGTTTGCTATCCTTGTGGGGGCTCTCCATAGGCGTAATGGTTTTTCTACTGTGCAGACCGTATATTCTATTGCCCTACGCCAACCCTACCCCTAAACCTACCCCTTACAGGAAACTTTCTGCATTTTTAGATTTTCAAAAAACTTCATTCTGTGTGATTTATTAGCTTGTTTACCCGTGGGGACCTCAATTTAGGTCCCCACCGTGACACGAGTCCCCACGAGTCTGTGTGTATTCAGGTTTAAGTCCCCACCAGAATAGAAAAACAGGTACACACACACACACACACACACACACACACACACTCGAAATCCTTTATACGTATTTGATTTTTAAAGTGATAGTTCACCCAAAAATGACAATTCTGTCATCATTTATTCACCATCATGCCTGTACAGTATGACTGACTTTCTTCTGTGGAACACAAAAGTGAAATTTTGAAGAAAATTCAGGCCATTCATGAATATTATGAAAGAGGAACTCAAAATGACAAAATAAGCACCATAAAAACTGTAGTGATTGCTTTGTGTGAAGAATAGTTTATAATTTACATCATTATTCACTGAAAATCTAGACATTGTCTCTAGTTCTCCTATAAAATAAAATAAAATAAAATAATAAAAACTGAATAAAATAAAAATAAAACTGTTGACACTGATAGCCTCGTGGGCAGCGCACCAACATATAGTGCTGTTGCACTTTGGGCGTCCCGAGTTCAAGTCCTGGCTTATGGACCTTTCCCGATCCCGTCCCTGTCTCTATCTCCCACTTCTCTTCCTGTCATCATACTGTCCTATCACGATAAAAGCAAAAATGCCAAAAATGAATCTTTAAAAAATAAATAAATAAAATTAATCAAAACATTTGTACTTTGTGAGAGATCATGATGTAACTAACCATGTCTAATTTATGAATGGATTTTTTTTAATAAAAAAAAGTCAAATCTTTGAAATTATTCACTTTTCAGGAATAGCTGGTCTACATGATTCATTCATGTATCAATTTAATCTGGTTATTAATGTGGTTAATCAATCTCGATTACTCAATGACTGATACTTAACAGCTCACAAAACGAGAAGATTAGCCATGAAGAACTTATTTGAATTCATGTACTACTTTAAATCCAAAATGGTGCCTCTACTACAGTTAAGACATGTCAGCACCATTATTCTATATTATTTTAAAGAAAGAAAGAAAGAAAGAGAAGGTTAGACATACAGATGGAATGAGGCAGAAGTAGAAAGGGAGAGGTCAAAGGGGTGCTGGTTAGTGAGTATACTTCAGTTCTGTTACAGTTGGATGAAAGATGACAGGTGATGATTTATACTCTCATTTAATACTGCTCTTACAATCGAAGGGTCTGGCTGCAGGCAGGGTGACCTTAAGACTGCCTGTCCAAAAAAGAACAGTAGGCAGAACCGGTCATTTCATTATTGTGCCATCACTGTGCAAACGCAGGGAGAACTTTGCCAACACAATATAGATAGTAAAATAAAAAAATAAAAAAAAATAATTCCCATGCCATCAGCTCATAATTAATATATATCAGTAAATCCCAAAAGCAAGCCAAAAATATAACAACATTTGTTAAAGGGGTCATATGATGCGATTTCAATTCTCTTTGGAGTGTTACAAGCTCTTGGTGCATAAAGAAGATCTATAAAGCTGCAAAGACTAAAGTCTCAAATCCAAAGAGATATTCTTTATAAAAGTTAAGAGTCAACCACGCCTACCTAAAACGGCTCGTTCTAACATGCCCCCACATGTCTACGTCACGATGTGGGAAGATTTGCATAACGCTGGACGAAGCGGAGTCCAGTCCGGGGTCGTCACATGTGGTTGCCGCAAGCCCGCCGGACACTCCTTCGTCGAATCAGCCGGCCGCGCCGTTCTCAAGCCCGCCGGCCGCCACTCACTCAAGCCCGCTGTGTGTTTCGTTGTGAACGCGAAACTACTTTGTTTGTCCTTCCAAAAGAGCACACAACTAGAAATCAGTGGTTAAGTTGTATTTACAACACTGTTCCAGAACAGTTCAACCCAAATATTCAGATGTGTGCAGCACATTTTATGGAGGACTGTTTCCTGAACCTGGGAGAGTAGACTACAATGCCGGCTGTTCTGACTCACAGACTGTAAGTACGCTTTCAGCATTGGATAGCTGGCCAATCAGAGCACACCTCGTTTTTCAGACCGATGAGTTTTGTAAAAATCGACGCGTTTCAGAAAGGTGGGGCATAGAGGAGAAACAATAATGTACAGTATGTGGAAAATAATGTGTTTTTTGAACCTTAAACCGCATAAACACATTTCATTACACCAAATACACAAAATAATGTTCTTTTTAGCAACATCATATGACCCCTTTAATATTTTGTTGCCTGTAATCAGAGACAATGTCTTTAATCTAATTATTTGAGATCCCTCTGCCCATTCGTATTGATCCATCAGAGAACAGCTGAAGAGGAAAAACTGGGCACAGAGAAGGCGAGCCTGAATTAATTTCTCCGATGTTCAATAGAAGTGAAAGGAAGTGAATAGAGGTGCATCGGCGGGGTGTGGGCTGTGTCGGCACACTATGGTCCTCTCTCTACAGGTAGTGACGGCTGGCTGTGTGGTTGCCAGGTTACAGACAGAGCAGGGCGTCAAAGAAGTAAATAAAAGTGCAGAGGGACACACTCGCATAAACCTGCACACACACATACAGTGAAAAGACACATCTTACTCCCTTCAAACACTGCAGAACACGCAGGGATTTGACTGTTGTTTCCAGCTGTGAAGGGGGCACCAGAGAGCATAAAGCATCAGAAACCACAGATGACTAACAGTTACATAACGCTAAATCACATTTGATTGACTTTGGAAGAACACATCTGTTTATTTTTAAAAGAGGGTAGCCAGAAGTGCAAAAAGTGAATTCAAGACCTCGTTACTGTTTTCCTTTCAAAAGATTTAAGAAATACAAACTTGTCAGCACCGATAGCCTTGTGGGCAGTGTGCCGACATATAGCGCCATTGTGCTATGGGCATGAGTTTGAGTTTGAGTCCTAGCTCATGGACCTTTCCCGAGCCCGCCTCCCTCCCTCTCTCCCTCCCACTTTGCTTCCTGCCGTTACTACTATCCTATCAGAATAAAGGCAAAATTGCAAAAAAAAAAAAAAAAAAAAAAAAAAAAAAACAA